ATTTTGTATCTGTGTATTCAAAGTGGTTAGGATAGATATATGGTTACATTCTCTTAATGAATAGAATGATTTGTTCTGATGGTGTTTGTAAATAGGATATCATGTCTGCATCTTGTACAGCAATTAACCACTGGGAAGAATGTATGCAATGTGTTGATTATTGAAACTGTCCTACCAATTTGATTTGAAACTGTCTCATTGCTATTTATCAATAAAATTATGGGAAAAAAATAAATTGCCTTTTCTGAACAGACAAGCTGATTAATTACATAGCTCTCTCTAACCATGGGGCCTATCAGTAACAGCCCATGAAGATCTATGAAAAAAGAGGTTCTGATGGAACCAAACTGAACCAGACTAGACTCTACTGGGGAGGAAGTGGTATTAAAATAGACCTATGTTGGGCTGGACAGTGAAGATGGTCTCTAGGAGAAGCACCACTAGAGAATTTCAAAAACCAGAACTTATCTGGTTGGAGTCAACATGATGAAGAGAAATTTAACTCTGAAAAAGGGGCCACTTACACGTTTAAAGTGTTCAAGTAGGACCACAGTAAATGGAGGGGTCCCTGGTGCTGAATCCTTAGTCTTACCTATATCATCAGCAACCTCAGACAGCAACCCTAGTGCTCCAAGATAAATGAAAACTATTCCCTCAGAAAAGAATAAAAAGCTGGGTGTGGTGGTACACACCTGTAATCCCAGCACTCAGGATGCTGAGGCAGGAGGACTGCTGTGAGTTTGAGGCCAGTCTGTACTACATAGTGAGACTTTTGTCTCCAAGTACCAAAACCAAAATCAAAAAGAAAAACAAAAAAGCTACAAAAACAGAAAGGAATAAAAGTTAAAATAGAAGCAGTGAGTAAGCAAATGTAAATCCATGGTACTGAAATATTTATAATTAGTTCTACTGTCACATGTACAAATCAGTAACCATAATAATACTGTGTCTACTTTTCAAGATATATAAGCACTGGGGCTGGTGAGATGGCTCAGTGGTCTAAAGCACCTACTTACAACAAGCTTAGCAAAGCACAGGGACCATGGTTCAATCCCCCAGCACCACATGCCAGCCAGCCCCGCACCCTGGTGGGCTGAGCTGGCCACATACACATAAATAAATAAATTTTTAAAAAATTAAAAAAAAAAAGATATATAAGCACGTAGAGTAATTTCTAGCTGTGGGTTGTGGCTTGGTGGCAGAGGCTTGGGCATGGTCCTGAGGGTGGGATACTGGGCCCCAGGTTGCATTAGGCATCATGCTACCTGGATGTGGTGGAGGACAGCTGAGGGGAAGAGGAAGGAGTTCCTGGGGCTGCTGGCTTGCTCTGTGAGAAGCCCTCTCTGCTGGGGATCTTAATACTAACAGCTTTATCACCTGCCTCTCTACCTTTTGTTCTGGGGCTCTCAACCTTGGCTGCCCTCTACAATCTCCTACCAATGTGCTCTGATCCTATCCCCTGAGATTCAGATTTAACTGATCCTGTGTGGAGCTTACATGAGACTATGGAAAACTCCCCAGGTGACTGAAATGAATAATCAGGGCTGAAAACACTGATCTAAGCATAAGTCATTTCTACTTTCCCTTTGTAATTTTATGTTCCTGCCCCATACTGTGGTTTTTATGTCTGTTTCTTTCCTCTTCTGCTACTCCAGATGGTTTTCCAAACAATGCACACAGCCCTTCACACACTAACTCAAGTGGCTGCTATTGCTGGAATTAGCAGTCACATCTCACTTGGAGTTAGGTTCCATGGTCAAGGTTCCATGGTCAATGCTTATTGCACAAGAGTCAAAAGTAGGGCTGGCAAGATACCTCAGTGGACTAAGCATCTGCTTAGGCAAGCACAAGAATGAGGATTCAAGCCTCGCCAGCCCCACCCCTGGGCATGCTGAGCCACATTGTGGTGCTGGGGAGGCTGAAAATAGGAGGATCACTACAAGTCCAAGCTGCATAGCAAGACCCTATACTAAATATAGTTTTGTTTTTGTTTTTTTCTTTTTTTAAAGTCAAAAATCACTCTTGACAACACCTCTATAAGGCGCTGGACCTTGACATACTATTTTCCCATCACCTGTCCAGTTTCCTCCTGGACAGGAATACCTCCTCCAGGCACCAAAGAAGATAGGTGGCTTGTTTCAGGGTCATCTTGCATAAAAAATACATATTTAAACATGTGCTTCAGCTCAGCAGGATGCACATGCCATGAACAGCCCACAGGAACAAAAGTGACCCACCCTACAGGAGACACATCTTCTATCACACCCACTCCTGAGCATATGGTCCTCATAGCCACCAGTGGGTGGAATCAACCACACCATTTAAGATGTTTCTATCAAAGCTAGAGAGCTGAACTCATGACAGCCACATGAACAACGTCCTTCAACTGCACTACAATCAGCTAAAGAAGGCTTTTCTCCTCCTCTACCTCCCCCCAAGTAGCTGGCTGGCTCTCCTCCTTCACTGACTCCTCTCCTGACCCCCTCAAAGGCTGCTGACCTCCTCAAAAGTCATTAACTCTTTTCCCCATGGTTCTCAGCTCTACCTAGAGTTCCTGACTCATGAGACTTCTGTGCACAGCAAAGGATGGTGTGCCCTAAGAGCTCTCCCCAACTGGGCGTGGTAATACATGCCTATAGTTCCAGCATTCAGGAGGCTTGGCCAGGAGGACTGGTATGAGTTCAAAACCAGCCTGAATTATATAAGCACTGCATAGTGAGACCCAGCCTTAAAAAAAAAAAAAAAAACAAAAAAAAAAACTTCTCTTGAAGGAAACAAAGCTCATCTAGACTTTGGGAGGCTGGACTTACAGGGCACAAAAAAAAAAAAAAAAAAAAAAAATAAAAAAAAAAATGTGTGTTTTGTTTTGTTTTTTTAATGAATGATATGAA